TTTACTTTTAACTTAAATTTGTGTACCGATTTCAAATGTTTAATGTCATCTGTCAATGCGTGGTAAAGTAACGTACATGTATTGTATGTAGATTTCTCGTAGTGAGCTGTTGATACTGACACTCGATGAACATGATTTCTATGAAGTGTGTTGTAATCATAAATATCAGTATTGCATGAAAATATGTTCCCATCCAAAGAGTTCCCACCGTTAAGTAAGTCACTTATGACAAATATTACAGATTCGTAAAGAAATAGGCAGGGCAATGATAAGATTCCAAGCTCAATGAAGAGAGGATTGCAGGAATCACTCGAATGGCATTTTTTCATTATTCGAATAATTTCGTTTCCAATCTAAAGGTCAGGGTACTACATGATGAGCTTCCCCCGGAAATTATGCCATATCTCAGGCGGGAATGAACATTTGCAAAATACACGTAACGAGCTGCATGAAGGCTGACAGAAGTCGAAGAAATTCAGATTACGTAACATAACGAACTTAATTTAGTGATTAATTCTGTTATTCGTACATTCCATTTGAGGTTTGACTGAACTGAGAGAACTAGAAATTTTGTTATCTGAAATCAGCTAATTGCATTCTGTTCATTTTTAATGGAGCATGCGATTGCAGATTTGAAATGCCAAAATGCATTGAAACTGTTTTTCCAATGCTGTCAAATACTTGTAGAGAAGCTTAGCTCATACGTGAAATCAGTAACTTCAATGAATTAGTGATGGAGAAAGTTGTTCGTATGAAAAATCGGCGATTATATTTTCGATTGAAGTAAACAAGGTAAGGTACAATTTCTTAATTTCTAGGTAGACTGATAAAATTGATAATCCGAATGTTGCCTAGTTAAATAACTGTAACGAAGACTCTACATTCAGAAGTGTCAAGCTCAAAAGTAATATAAAGCAATAAATGAGAAATTAAAGCATAATTTTTCAACTGTATACGTAAGCTTCCGCGGCTCGAATCCATAAATTCTCGGCTATCCGGGAGACCCCCCGTCGTTGGGTGGGACGACGAATCGTTGGCTTGGCACCCCAGCCAACGACGCGGCGTCTCCCGGATAGCTGAGAATTTATATAATTTTTCAACATTAGTTCTTACGAGTAATATTATAAATATTAATTTTCTTTACAAATTCTCTGGTCAGATCGCAACAGTCAGTAGCAATAGTAGACATTGAGCCCTTTCACCGCGCAAAAGCTGTCTCCCATCAACCACTTTTCAGTCGTTGCGTACATTGAAAGGGATATGATATGCCGCACGTGCCGCGTGGGCCGACTTGACACCGGCAAGAGATGTTACGCTGACCTCAGTCCGATTACGGAGCAGCAACGCGTCTTGCGCTCATGGCGAGATGCCACACATGGGTGCGGCATTCGAGAATCGTGTATAATCAGTTTCTTGGAATGGAGAATTTTTCGTATCCTTCTTTCTTTATTAGTGGTTATAATTATCCGATAGGGAACCAAATAATTTAAAATATATTTACATTGAAGGTGAAGTCGTCTTAAACAATGTTAATAATTGTGCCCATTAATCAATGGAATATTGGAAACGAAGACCCCTGTCCCCTTACGACCATTGCTTCTACAACACCCTTAAATTTAAAAAATAATGTTTTTATAATATTTCAAAATTGCACATATTGCATATATATTTCAATATTGCGCGAAAATACTAAAATTTTCAAATAAATGTACACGACCTTATTGAAAGAACTCACTATGGGCAACAAATTCTATTTGAAGGAAAAATCTCTACCTTCATTTCTGTAATTGTAGGAAGACCCCGAAAAAAATTCATACTTTTGAAATTTTTGAACATTCAGAGTTAACCATTAAAACAGGACCAATGCCATGCTTATATGTGTATGTTACTCTATTCTTACAATAAATTTATAGAAAAAAATGGAGCCTTTTTTGAGAAAATTTTGAAAACGTCAGGGGGTTTTCATGTAAAGTAACCCCAAATTTTAAAGATTTTTTTTTTTCAAAATCTCAAAGATTCGACTCGAGCCAGATGGTCAAGGGTTTCTTCAATTTGGAAAAAATCGTACGTATGGTTTAGGCGCTAGTAGTGTTCACAGACACCAGTCTGCCGGCGGACGTTTTGAAAAAAACACTTTTTCGAAATCAGGGGACACCAAAACGTAAATTTCCATCGAAATCGATTTTCGGCAGCATTACATAACTTCCCTATACTAAGTATAATACTCCGTATATACATACGTATACGGGAAAGTAAAATATATAACTCATGGTAAACTGGAAGGCATAGCAATAAACCAGCTGGCGGCCCTGTACTCTGAAATGCACTGAAATATTTTGGGCAACAAAACCAGACAGACCAGCGATAATCTTCGCTTTCTGGAGCCAATGTCATCTCCATATATTTTAACCTTAGTGGGAAGCATTGCTTTTGGGAAAGACAAATGTCAAAAGATAACTTGTAAATTGAAAGACGTATTAAAAAAAAATTATATTACAAAATTAAATAAGGATGTTATCGAAATTTAAATCATACAGTATAAAATGAATTTAAACAAAATAATAAAGATGAAATTTCACAATCCAAAATTTAAAATCTTGAAATTATAATATAAAGTAAATATTACAGAACTAACCAAATACCTATTATTTACATTACAAATGTAGAATTTTATCAAAATAAGTTCAAAAACTAAAAAAATCAAATCATTGAAAAAACTTGAAATATTAAAATACAAATATCAAGACTGTACCAAAAATGGCAATGAAATAAGGTACAACAAAATGTTTTATAAAGAATGCATACAATACAAATAATCACAATAATAAAAGGAGACTAAAATTAATAACAATGATTAACTACACTCATTGATAATGTAATAGAACATAATTGGTAACGTTTTAAAACTTGTCATTGCGTTATGACCATAAAGAAGTAATCAGTTTATCAATTTTTCTGAATATTTTGCAGATCCTTCAATATCTGCATAAGTTT